GTGTCTCTCGCTCTCTTTCTCTCGCGCTTACTACTTCTACCACTACCGAACGTTTCTGTTCATTTTTCACCGATCCCACCGATACTCACGATAGGTGTCTTCCTCGTCCACGCTGACGCCCTTTAGGCCCTCCCGCCGCTTTGTCTCTTCCTTTCCGTTTCCGTTTCCGTTTCCGGAGAGGACGTTTCTGCCGCAAGTTTCCGCAGCCAGAAGCAGCCCGACCATCACCCACGTGATCATTCCTTACATCTCTGGAACGACAGAAATGGGGTCGCGCGTTACGTAAGTGGCCTCGAAAGGACATTGGCGAACGCCAATTACTCGGAGGGATGGAGAAGCCAGAGAGAGTGCAGGAGAAAAGCGCCCGACGCGAATTTTAATTTCGATCGATCGCGTCGTGCGGGTTACCGCGTCCCACGAGATAAAGGGATAGAAAGAGAGAGAGAGAGAGAAGTGGTAAAAAGTGGCTTACGCTCGTATTCTCACTGCGCGTTCGCCGTGAAATGTAGCTGTCTGATCCCTCTCTAGCGCGCTGACATTGAACATGATCTTCATATCGGACAAATAAAACTGGGAGTTGGACGGCCGGGTCTAGCGCACAGTAGGAAAGAATATCAGTTCACCGCGAGAACCACGCCTGCTCCGCCGAAAGTCTCGGAAATGACGGAGATTTTGCAAAAGTCGCCGTTGCATTGATTTTTTAAATTTCCGTTCGTCGTAATCTCCCGCACGTCGTTTCTCCCTTAAATATCAGGGCGTCGCCTTAAACGCGCACCGAGTGAGAATCGCGGGTATCGTGAAAATCGAAGATACTCGACAGTCTCGATGGGCTTGATATCCGGATCAGGAATTGCGGAAGGAGCGGGACGTTTCGCCGACAACGAACGCTGATTTAAATCGTCGTCAGACAAGAACGACGCGTCTCGTCGACAGCAGGGATCGGTCGCGTACGTGTCGTCCGACGGATAGTCTGTCTCGAGCGGATGTACCGGTACCAGGACGTCGATCAGAGCCTGATTCTAGGGCACGGGCGACCTATCGCCGACGTCAGTTCCGTGCGTCGTATTAGGGTCTCGACGAGTCAATGGATCGAACGTTGGACCTTTCGGGGTAGATAAGGTCGTGTCGTGGCCTCCCCCGAGGGCCGAGTCCGCAAGAAACGCTCTCGCGATGACAGGCACCCTCTAATCGAAGTAATTAATTCCGAACTGCGTGATCTCTCGAGAGAGGTCCGACAGCCACTTTTCAATTTCAACGTAATACGCAAACTTCGCTGAGCTCCCTTATTATTTTTCGTCATCTCGATATAAATGAGTTTCTATAATGAAGTCTTTAGAGAGTTCATTGCTACATAATAGACGCAGAGTCTATCGTTTTGTTTTCACGTCGAGCTTGGAACGAAGATAGTAGAGGAAGATACAATTTTACCGTTCAACTAGTTGCAATAATAAAACGAATCTTTCTCTCTGTTTCTCTCTCTCTCTCTCTCTCTCTCTTTATTCACTTATACTAATAATAGAGCAAATCTCTCTCTCAGAGATAGGTATGAAGATTAAACAGACGCTCGAGTGGAGCCGCTAAGAAGCGCATTATGGCTTTTTGTCGATAGAAACTTGAGGTGTGATAGTAATTGCATTTCGCAAGAAAGATCGCCGAAACTCCTACAGGGTATAATCATTGCTAATTTATACCGGCTTAAATTTGATCGGTTTACGCTTGTATTTAAATTCATTCTCGTAATAGGGCTTACGTCTCACGCTCTCTTGGCTCGCTGATGTCTTTATATCCTTGCTGCTTCCACTCCTGAATACTCTGGAGTTTGAACTCTCTTAACGGACTTGTTAATTATACACTTACTAACTTTGCTTTTATCCGCGCTCCACTTATTCGTGAAGTTTGGCGCTCAGCGATGTATATAATGCACTGTATTTTTCTTCCTCCTCCGTTTCGCGACATTGCGGAGGAATATAACTTTGTGGCAAAATGACGTTTTTTATGTGCATCGTTTCAGGAGGCCGCCCAGTTTATTCCTTAGCGTCCCTTCGCTCGGTTTTAATTAGTTCCAGTGGTCGATGGAAAATTTTCCCAAAACGCACAAAGTAAACTTCGTAAAATATGCAATACCTTTGATGCGATTCAATCTTGATAAGTAGCGCGTTTTAATTAGCAATCATAAACTTTTCAACAATTCGTTTGCATTGAGTAGTAGAATAATGGGGTTTATATTTGATATGCGTTTAATGGTGCATAATTTCAAATCCCGCTGCTCAACTCCTGCCGTTCGTTCGGCGGTGCTGAAGTTTAATTATTCAGAGCATGTGAAAGTGACGGATTTCGCGGAAACCTTTGAAGTCACCGTTCGGATGCGTCTTCGCAAATATATATGTAAACGCATCGGTCGGCGTATTTCTGCGCGCATCGTTTTGGATCCTTGCATAACTCTACGCCGCTTATGCAAAATAACCGTGCATCAAGATAAGAAAACCATTTTATGTAAAATAGCTGGCGCGGAAATATGTGTCACGAAACACCTGTCGCACGTAAAACTTTTTCGCGAACTTGGCACACCACCGGGTGACGAAGTCTCCCCATTTATTGGTCGCGTCTGACATTCCGAATCTATCCTCTCTTGCATCGACATATAGCGGTATTGTTCCGTCTGATATATTGACCGTGTTTTTACGCCTGGGTGGCACACTTTATGCAAAAACGAATATTGTTCGGGATTAAAATAATTAGCGCTCACGAAATGGATTGCCTATTGAGTTTCTATCGATCAAAATTCTGATTATCACGCGCCAATAATTTCAGCTACGTCCGTAAACGGGATGTTGATCGAGCGGCTATATATATATATCGTCGTGCGCTATGCATGTCTGGCTTTTGATCGAGTATAAACGCATTTGGCGTATCGGATTACGAAGGACGCCCTATCAATGCTAGGAAACGCAGCTTCCGTTTTGCGCGCAGTTCCGAACCCGCTTAAAACTTGTAACGCCGCGCATTATAATCCGGCTACTCATCGGGGAATAAATAAATCGAAGGCGGGAATAAATAAAAGGGATTGTGTTAATCCCATTACACAGTTACGCCCATTGACTCCCGCCGCCCTATCGGACAAATTCCCACTGTATTTTCATCCCGCATTTAATTACCGTGGAAATCAATTAAAATAGATCAATTGGCGAAATTATCGATGACGTTTCATCTTGTACAAAAGCTATCGAATACTTTTTACGCAAAAACAAATGCCAATTTAATTCCGCATCAATCATGGTGGCTCCCATGCCCTCCATCTTTGTGATTAGTTTAAAGGGGAACTACCTTCCAAGAAATAAATTTTCGAATTATTTCCGAAACTTCAATCAAAAGTTATGAATTATGTAGTAATAATATGAATCGAAAAATATAATATGTATAATATATATAATATCGATATGCAATTTTAACAATGATTAAAAAATATACTTGTATATATATATATATATATATATNGAGGTAGACAGAAAAAATTTGTAATCAAATTTTGAATTTTAAATTTTTATTGCGAAAACCAAATATTATATTCAAATAGGATCCCGATTTCTAGTTTCCCAATTTCCAATCGCATGTTTTTTTATTTTAAATATTTTTTTTTTACTTAAAATCCCTTGAATTTATAGAAACGATTTTGTAGATAATTTTTCGTTCTGAAAAATGTAAAAAAATTAAGTATAGGAAATATGAATGAAATAATTTTCACTGAATATATTCAATTTTCAACAACATTATTTGTTAAGAAATTTTCTGTAACATATAGTTACAGAAATCGTTTTAATATTACAGGTAAATATATAATCGGCTGATAAAAAAATACAAAAATATATGAGTCGAATATAATAAACATAGTGTCCGAAAAGTGATTATCTTCTAGATATTTAGCTTTTCATTTAGCTAAGTCCTTTGCATAATTACACCCTACTAAAACAGATTTCATACATAATCGTATATACATAACTACGCATAACTACTGCCACCGCACTTCGCGTCGCTTGCGGGACTTCTTCGCTCCCGCCTTTGCGCGGCAGCGGACCCACCTCAGCTAGCTCAGTTTATTTCGCTAAAAGCGAGTCGAATCCCTTGCTATTCCTCGTGGTAGAGCGTCGTGGTTCTTAACATTCTTCCTCGATTCCGCGGACCCGTCGGGGAGGAGCCGAGAGAGATAATAAATGAGAGACCGGTTAACAATAAAATAACGACACTTTAACTCTATTGAACTCTAAGGCAGATCATGACTTAATCCTACAGATAATCGATCATACGGTGTGACACTGAAATAATACTCGTTAGTTAGCCTGTGTCCTTCACGGACAGGCAACTAAATTCCGTACCACGGGAGATTCCGTAACGCGATCAAAAGAGAGCGATATCTCGCCTGAGATGTTCCGCGAGACGCTTTCTGCGGCGGATCTGAGCCGCTCGACGGCAGCTCTAATACGCGCGTCGTATTAACGAAAAAGCTCCCGGCGTCGTTACGCGAATCTCACCGGGTTTTCCGTTGGGCGTTAGCCGGGTCTTTCCCGACAGTGGTTACTGTTTCCGGCCGATCACGTACAGTCCGATCTAGCTCTTCGCCAGAAGCAGTTTCCGCGAACAAACATACGAGCTCCTGACGCGGCTCAATATACAATCTCCAATGCAATCCCGACAATAATTCTACAACGACTGTGCGACCGGCGATTTGAAAAGGCGACCGAGTTTCCGTGATCCTTACGCTCGAGACGCTCTCGAGCACGGCCCTTGTCGGCCTGCGACGGGGTCCCTAAATCTCGTAAATCCGGGCGGCCCTACCTTCCGGGCGCCACGGACCTCCAACGAGTTCACTTCCCGGCACTCTGATCGCGCTTATGCCGTCGGGAAGCGACGGCAACCGACACGGAATTAATTCGCAACTCTACTTCTTTACTCGCGGCAGTACAAAGTTCTCGCTCACCCACTCGCCACCGGCAGCTCGCCTCTCCTCCTCGGGATATCGTCCTTTGGACACGGCAGCTTTGCTCGTTCGCTCGCTCGGACGTTTCGCTAGCTCGCCGTCTGGCCGCACAGTGTCGAGCAGTGCTCGTCACTTCGCCCAAGAGGCAGCCGCCGCAAGGATCACGCCGTTCGATGCGGCCTCCGATTGGTCCTGCCAGCTAGATTACGCGTATCAAGAGTGCTCGCGGGAATTCCGCGTCTGTTGTTGTTATCTCGACGCTTGTTTATCCTTGTTTTT